CTTCCTCTGCAATGTGAATCTGGTCCCCGGATTTGCATCCAAGGAGGGTATTGTGCCGTCATCCGTATTCACATAATTAAATTCATCCGCTCTAATAGTGGGTGTTGTGTTCGTGCTCTTGTAAATGTGCTACTCATCAGTCTGTATGAATTTTTCAGCTTTTTTATTAGTCATTTTGCGCGAATCCGCCAGTTTTGCTGCATTAGCTTAGTATAATAATCGATAATTTAAGTGGGGATAATCATTTATTTTTTTGTTTACCTTACATTTGAGTAAGGGAAATCATTTAATTTTTTGAGATTAAATAGACACAATTTTAGTTCTTTGTTGTTTTAGGCCTGTTGTGCCTGCTTGTATGTTTTTAGGTGCCTTTGGCACTGAATTGCCCGTAGTTTGAAGTGCTGTTGCACTGATCTGAGAACGCTGTGCTTTCTCCTTAATGTTCTTATCTTTCTGTGGGCAGATTCCTCGATAAATTTCGAAGGGTAGGTCAGCCTATCATTTTTTTGTTCGAATATCCCATGCGGTTTCCCATATTTCTGTCGTTGCTTCTTTGACGGTGCTTTTTAGCAGTTTTATCAAATAGGAACTAATATTTGTGTTGTATAAATATTATTTTAATAATTTTTCTATTTCTACAGATTTTCGGATGAGTTTGACATTTTGATGTATAATTTTATGTATATTCTTTTGTCTTTTGATGCCCGAGCATTGCTAGAATCTCGGTTCCGATGTACCAAGAATTTTCTGCATGTCATTTGCTCAGAGAATTTTCTGCATGCTCAGCCGTTGCTTGATTTGAGAGTGGAGATTCGGGAATTTTCACAAAAATTGATAGAATTCACTGGTCAAAAGGCTGGACACAGTTATAACAGGCTTTTTTTTTTCCTGCACAGGCATGTCTCCAGTTTGTTCAGTCACATAAATGCACTCCGTAGCTACCAGAAGCAGCTTACTCCCGCAATCAGGTTTGCAGGGATTTGCGACGCTTGCTTAGGTGCTTCTCCTTTTTATTTGAAGTCCGTCCGAGTGTTGTCTTTTTTCTTTTTTTTTTTAGTATTTGTTTAAAATGCGGGTGCTTCGTTTATTATTTTCATCAGTATCGGTTTCACTGTGGTCCG